TCTTTACACCTTAATTCGTTTAAAAACACGGAACCGAAGTCGTTACAATACTTACACAATATCATAATGATGTGTAGAAAACAGTTATTCGAAGGAAATCAACCAGTGGGGAATTCGGGGGTTTGTGTGCAGATGGAATATTATATGAATTCCCTTCCGAATTCGACTTCGCCCACATTACTACCATGGTCTCTGGCCCTAAGAACTCTCTCAAGTGGATTTATATATTTGGGTCTCTACAGAGCTTTAAACTATCGGTAAAAGCTCTGATATTAAGCCATAACGGACAACACGTATGTTTACGTTTTGCTTGGTAGTTGGTACTTGTACCCAAGTTGAAATACTACCGTTTTAGAGCGTTAAGTGTGCAGATGTTTTTTAGGCTAGAAAACACCGATTTATCGGAAGAAAGTGTTTATTTTTCGTGTTACCTACTTACCTACCTATTGTTTCGGAACTGTGACGGACTTAAGTACGCTAACAGGTAAGGTGATAGCAGCGGTGTGCGAATAACAAAACGAACAACACAACGGGAAAACTAAAGCGGTAATGTATGACTGTGTGGATGATTACTCTCATAACTACGCGGGGACGAATCTATTGTTTTGAAAAATGGATATTTTTCTTCGCAGCCCAAGAGATTTGGACCAAAGATATTTATCGTTCCCATGAAGAATACAGAATTTTCTTCTCTGAATTATCCCTATTTCTTAACTGTCATGAAAACAGAAAAACCCACATTTATCTTTATCTTATATATTTTTCTTTCCGGGGTTTGTGTATGCGAAATTGCGAAAAATATGCGGTCGCGTTCACAAATCTTTATTATTTTTTACCATGGCTCCGCTGCGACGGCAACGGTGATTGCGTTCCATTAACATTATTTTTCCACGAATAAATTTGTCATCATTAAGTAATAGGTTTATGGAGAATTGTAAACGCAACACGACCGCAATGCATTCAATGTCACCTACAAGTGTGCATCCTGTTTCCAATTTCCACTTTTCCAGACACGTACATTTTCGGTGCTTTTTTTGTTGTTGTCGAATTCATACTTATAAAAAGGACTATAATACATCGTCTACACAAGTATCTTTAATAACGTATCTTGGATATAATTATGTCTTCGCTCTGTATCTCGATACAGTTTTGGGAAATGTCGAGTATTTTAAATGTTGCAGTGCTATACTTTTTTTAAACTCGTATGTCGAGTATTTCAAAATTGTTTTCATCGAAAGATCCTCGATACTTAAATTTAAAGATAATTTGAAACATTAATTATTTTTCAAAAGACATAATTTTTATCTTCCTAAATAGTTATAGTTGGTACATTACACTAGGTACCTATTTAGTTTAGACATATTTTTTAATTTTCGTTATGAATTATGATGTGCAATATTGTTACAGTGATTACTCTTCATATCTTAAGCAGGTCCCACATGACTAATTTAATTAGAGAATATTCGTTAATCGTTATGCTTTACGAGTCATAAGCGACTATAAGAGGTATTTAATCATAAAGTATAACGGTTGTTTCAACTCGCTGAATTATTCGTGGTTTTGCATCTATTGTTTGATAATAAAATTGATTACTCGTCCGTATTTTTTACACACACACACCCACACACTAGATCAGAACATGTAGTGTCTCAACAATTCATATATGATAGACATTTGGACTTTGAAGAGGAGTATCTGTATATAACATATTGTCTTTTTTTTTTTTATTATGTTATCGAGGACTGGAGGAGGAACTATGGTGCCAGTGCTTCTCCTTCAGCCCCCATCGTTTATTGTCAAAAACGATATAACATATTGTCTGAAATATAAATTAATTTCCTTATCATATTTTGGAAAATGTTTTAAAACTTGAAAAACCTCTGACTATAATTATTAAAATTAAATAAATAAATTAATGTAGGTATAATAATAAAATGAAATAAAATTATTAAATTATATATGTTAATCTTTTATGATTACCTACTGGCTATTAAGAAATATTGCTTATATGCATATTTTAAATATATATAGAATATAGAGTAAATAGATTTATGTGATACAATAGTAATTAAATTAATTAAATTACTGAAATTTATTTTTATTTTTTGTGTATCAAATATCATGTTTTGAGTATTGAGTATTTATCTATAAACTTCAAATGTTAGTATCAAGTATCTATTATTGCATTTCTTATTAAGAAAAACAAATTTATCAAAGCAATAGCAGTCTATACATAGATTGTAAGAAAGTAGAAAATAATTTAATACGAATAAATTTCAATGTTCAGTGTAGTGAAAATGAATTTCTAATGACTAGAAAATAATAAGCTTTTATCGTAACGAGGGTTGATTAATAACTATGCCCTTATGCCTTTACAAAATGTGTCACCCTTACATATATGCATATATAGCTAATCACGCCCCCCCCCCACTTCTCACCATAACCATCATAGTGATACGCAAAACAGTCAAAATACAGTAGAGTTTCATAGCTTAAACAAAAATCACTTTCAAAAGACCAGCTGACATTGAAATCTGTGAAAATAATAATAATATATTATCACGTTCGGGATGGTAAAATGAATAGTCACGATGAACGCATTCTACACGAATTACATGAATACATTTTTAAGCGTTCAAAAGTTAAGTGCATATGATAATACAAATGTATACATTAAAAAGCTTCAAGTATTGCCCTATTAGCAAGGCCATAGCTGGGACAAGTTTTCCTGCGGGGGGAAGGGGTTTAAATTAAAAAATATTTTCATTGTAGGTTATTAAAAAAAATTGCCAACACTTATTTTAAACAAAAAAAACCTAACATTTTTCTATATTAATACATCAGAATTATTTTAGAATATTTTGAAGTAAGTTTATACTATACCCAATTATTTTATTTTATTTAAGAATATTTTATAGAATAGAAAAGAAAAATAGAAATAAATGTATACATATAAAATCTAGTTGCAGCTTATTTTCTTTGGTGAAACGATTAATTACATCATGTGGATCGATTTTAATTCTTCAGGTGAATTTGTAACTACATTAATTCGATGTTTTTGACGTCCAACGATTCTTGGTATTTATTATGTCTTTTTCACTATAAACTGATTCATGAAATTGTTCTTTAATATATTTTTTTTTATAATTCTGTCAGAATTGCAGAGACTTTAATGAAATTACCTACCGATTTTATGATATCAATACAGTTACTAATATGTTGAATACTACATGAATGATGAGGACTAAATTTAAAGAATGATCACTGCAGTGAACATAAAGTTCGGCTGGATACACTTTTCGAAATAATTGCTTGCACTCCATTCAAATTCCCATTCATTGCTGCTGATCCATCACATCCTTGTCCTACCATATTATATTTCTAATCTATACCAAAATATTTAATAGTTTCTAAAATATCATTAGCTATATTTTTTCCAGTAGAACTTTCTACTGACACAAATTAAAAAAAATCTTCGAGTAAAATGAATTGATGTTCAGGATCTCCATCGAAGTATCGAATACAAAATTACATTTGTTTGTGTCGCGATATATCAGTTGTCTCTTCTACTAAAATTGAAAATGGATTTGCCTTATTAATTGTATTTACTAAACAATCTTGAATTATTTTTCCGACGACAGTGATTAAATCATTTTGTTTGGTAGGACCTACATACCTAGCTTTAATTGCTCCGTTTTCAAAACGATCGGTCATAATTTTATAGTCGCAGTTTATTTGCATTCACATAGGGTCTCTAAAAGTATCATCATTGTGAATCGGTTCATCCAGTGTTGTGACCTAGCGTCAGATGTACCACGAAGGGCCAATTCTTGACGGTCAAACAATATACTTTTTAGAATAGATTAAATATTAGAATAGATTTACGATTTTAATGAAAAAAAAGAATAAAACAACTGTCAATGTCTATAATGAAATATTCGTTCAACTACTACACTCAACACTTCACACATACCCTTTAAAAATGTATAGAAAACTTATTGGGTTGAATCAATAACAGACATATATAAATAATTTTTCTTATTATTAATTTATGAGTTGATAGGTTTACCGATAAAGTGGTAGGTATAATAGTTATGTAGCACGCTGGATCGGCGAACAGAAATACATTGCCATTGTAGGGTTGTGGAGGTAATTTGGCAGTTTTTCGAGAAAACAAAATGCAGTTATATTCGTGTATTGTGTATGACCGAATCATAAACAGTGTCTGGGTTCCTGTACATTACTACTCTGTGAGAGCCATTATTTTGCGTTATGTGTGAACATTAATTGTTTAAAGTAATAAAAAATACATTTATTTCGAAGTACTATTGTATGTGAGATGAAGCCAAACGTGAAATGACAATTATTTTGGTAGCCGTGGTGAGTGTCGGAGAACTGCATGTTCGTAAAATTCACGAGTTAGGGTAGATATTTCTTTTTTATTCGTAAATAGTTTTACAAAGATATTATTTAGGAGTATTTAGAGTAGGAGTGCATTATTTTTGAACAAACGATAATACTCAGTATATTTTTTTCTTCCTTATTATGTGTCTGTACAATAAATTTAATTTTTATATCGATTTTTTTCTCTGTATTTATTACTAGTAAATAAATAACAGTAGTAAATATGAAGTATTTCCCTGCCATCATACGAATCAGTATTATGGGATGTATTTCATACTAGAACTAATAATTTTTAACATTTAATTACTCGAGACATAAATATTTTATTTCTATGTTATCTAAATATCAATACTACGGTCACTTTGAACTTGCGTAGTGCATAATATTGACAGTTTAATATTCCTAGCTCAGGAATGTGCCCTATTATATTATTTTGTACGATGAAATAAACGTTTTTATACGCGTCATTATATTTTGCTACAAAAACGGAAATTGGTGTAAATAGCCATAACTGTTTATTTTATGAGATGATAAAATGGTTAATATGTAAATTACATATTGACTTTTAACAAATAATATTAAATGAGCTTACTTACATTTAGTACTGCCCGTATCAAGTAAAACGTCACTTCAATTTTGCAGAAGGAGTCGAATTTCTAGAAATAATAAATAATTTAATGTTTGGTTAATAAATATAATAATATAATATCATACTATCTATATTCTGTGCAGAACTCAAGTAATCTGTACGATATTGCTTCTGATATTATGATATTAGTTATATATGTATATGAGTTCATGTTCATAACTCACCTTATTTACATGGTCTCTGAGTACGTTCGAGTAAACAATTGCAACCGCTTCGAGTGCCATGAAAGTTATGAGACCAACAATCCAAGGTACGATTAGGGATACCCGTTCCTGAAAGAAGAATATAAATTTATTTGAATATTCTGGGTCTTACAATGATATGTATTTAAACATTTTTTTTTAGAAATGTATGCATAAACATCTTTATAGTTAGATGAACTACTCCGAAAGTTCCACACGCCCTGTTGTAGGTCATAAATTATTCATACACGGTAATTATAATATTTTAAGAGAAAAACACTTTTAATATATTTTTTTTCAATAGCCTTATTAATTTTCCGAAAAATGGTGAAAAATTGCTAAAGTTCATGATATTATTAAAATATTATGTTATCCTATCTATGAATACGTCATTATTGCCCTAGCGAGCGTTCATATTATAATCTTATTTCATTAATTACAACAAAATGTATTTATTAATAAATTATAATATAATATTAGGTATCTATATACAGTGGTGAGGCGAGCATTAATAAATTATGATACACATATATTTTCATTACCCTTTCTCTCTTAATCACCTTAATATAATAAATATGTATAATAGATATAATTATTTTGCGACTGTAAATATTTTAGTTTTTGTTTTATGTTATTGCTTAACATAATCTATCCAACTACTTCCCAACCCCCCAAAAAAATGTATTCCATGACGCCTAAGTTCCATACTACCAAAATTCACCACACCACTGCCTATATATATAAGCATGGTAAATGTTGTAACTATTCAGTCTAATCATTTGTATTATTATTTTAAATTTTAAAACTCTTTACATTAAACCGAGATAATGACCGTTTTTTCAAAATATATGTTATAGGCTATAGATTTCGTGTTTAAAATTAGTATAGTAGTATACAACGAGCGGTGTTGCGCAGACAAGAGTGAAATATACGAGAGCTCCAACATTTAGTCATCACTATAGCCCAGTATATTGTATGTAATTTATATTTTGTTTTTATTTCACAAAACTGACTTACAAAAAAAAAAAAATTAAATTTTCTTTTATTCACGATTCCGCGGAAATAAGGTGTTGGAGGAGCTCACGTTTCGGTTTCATGTATTTATGATTGGTTTAAAAGTTATGTCACGCGCTCACAGAAGACGTGCTGGGCGGTACACACGTTCAAAATCAACGTTCCTTTGTTTTTGAAAGCGGATAATTAACTAATACGTATAGTGTGTACCCGTATAGAAAAAAGTAATTATCGCTATTCGATTTGAACGAAATATTATATAATTTTATCTCTGTCGGATCCGTTTTTACTTTAATAGGTATACACGCGCTCACTTTATTATGTACCTACCCATATTATGATGATGTATGATAAATGGTTCGGAATTTTGCGGTTTGCAAATAAAAACGTTCGATTCGCCGAATCGGATGAACGGAGTATTAAATAAGGAATTCACGTTTTCGTTGGACTTTTCTTCTTTTTTTATATATATATAGGTAGGTGGCACTCGACATAAAAGTGAATTTACGACCGTATGCGTGATTAGTTTTGAAAATAAGTTTAATTTAATTTATGAACTGCTTAATAAATGCTGTAGCTGTGAAGTATATCCCAATTAGTAAAGTGCCTTATATAAAATGTTAAATGTCTGTAAGCATATATTTATTTACTTTAACTGCTAAAATATAACTATACGAGTAATACGAAAATGTTATGAAATGTTTATTAAAAGGACAAACTTAAACATTATAATTAATAGGATTAGGATAAAAAGTTTCAGAGTTTCAGAATTGTAACCATATGAAATATATACATATACGTCATATTATTATAAATACTGCACAGTATATACACTTTGTTTTGCTATGTTAGCTTTATACAGGGGTCGGGAAACACAATGGTCAATTCTGCAGATATATAATATACACGGCGATTCACCCAGCATGCCCCCCCCCCTTTATCATATAATAATTCAATTATTTAAATTCTGGTTTATTGAATTTTTAAGTATAACACTTAAAGACCATAATATATTTTACCATTTATGCCATTTAAGGAGTATTCTATTATGAGAACTACTCTTTTTTTTTACTGTGAATTACAAGTAGGATGATTTTTTGAAAACGTTGAAGCATGTAGTGGAAAATTTGAATGCGATTAGTTTCTGATTTCTGCAACTTTATGCACTATAGACAACAGACCTTTGTTATGGTTTTAAATAGAATTTAAAATGCGTAATATTTTTTTAACTTTTAGGACTTTTTAAATTAGGCTGTAATACAACTTTATTATTATTTTTTTAAATTAATTTTTTAGATTTACTAACATTTTCAAATCATTCAAGACTCACATATGTCTTGAACCTATTATCATTGATTATTATTTATTAGGTATTATCTTAAGTACCAACTAAACGCTGAATTACTTACAAATTTACCCGGCAAGATCATCTGATTAACAATTAAAGTAAAAATGGATGTCGATATTATAGGACCATAAATCTGTATGATCCTGCCTTTTGAATCGTGTTCTTAAGATGCACTGTTCCCCACAGGAGAAAAAATGATTGTTTTCTTTTTACGGTCTATGCATTTTTATTAATTTACGATAACAAAAATGTAATGTAGGTACTTATAATTAATATTATAATTTATAATATTACGATATATGACAATAAATACTGCCCGCTTAAAAGTACCCTTCCGTTGGTCCTTACTGGGTCGAAATACTTAAAGTTTTGATATTATATTATGTTTAAGTTTCTATATACGGGACGAAAGCAAGATATGAGAGCACTGTGCAAGTAGAGCGTGTAATAATTTTTCGTTACAACAACCGAAAGTGTGTAAAACTATAGAATTGATATTTTATGCGTTATGATATTCATGCGGACTGGGAATATTATAATTTTTTGCTTATGGTTATGACGTTAGTATCCCACTTTGGCAGTCTGGCATGCATTGTTTTGAAAAAGCTGATAACATATTTAATCATGAGTCAAAATCTAAATATTGCTTACTTATTGATATCTATAGAGCAATAATATTTTATGTGTGTATTTTAATATCGACCAAAAAAACAAACCTCAAATGCTGAGGAAATGACGTCTTGGGCCGCAACAATGTCATCAGTGTATAATGTATATAGTATATTAATATATAATATAATAATAATTGTCATTGTCACAGTTTTGAACCAAACCACCACGAATACGGTTAATTGTGATTATATCCATTTATTATGTTGACACGTTAGTAGTCATTAAAACACACTGTACCCTTTTAATTACATACTGTGACTAATATTTGAATATGTAATCGACGCGTATAATATTGATTTAGTTGAGTTCGGATGATAATATTTAGGTAGGCTCGCGTAATAATTGTAAATGTATTTATTGTCGTCTTTACTTTTCTCGCCTGCGCTAATTTCTGCTTTGTAATGTCGTGTTATTTTTGCTCGGTATTATATCGTGTAAATCTAATTTGCCGACTACGCTACGGGTCAATACATTTATACCCAAATGGAAGAGATGTCTCATTTATTTAATTTTTTTAAATTTAATATCTTAAAGAGAAATATGTTAAACATTTACGCATGACATATATTCGATGCACTACCGTACACTGTGTAGTATGCATGATTACATAGGTACAATAAGTCGTGTAACTTGTTAACTGGGTGATTCGTTTAACAGTAAACTGCAGTCATTAAGTATGTCAAAAAGTATTATCGTTTTTCAAAATACACTTCTTACATTATTTTTAATCTTGTTGTTATCTTATAATATCGTTTTAATTTTTTTTTTTTAAGTGTACAACCTTTAAGATTACATTCATTTTAACATCATATTCAGCTATTATGAGTTGAACCTAATATTAGGATTTGTATTTATTGTATTTATCCAATAAGTTATTATTATTATAACTCAAATAAGTGCTCGTTTAAAATTCGATTTTTATACATAAACATTCTCAGTATTATATTCTTCTACTGAATATAAATATACAAAATATGAGTATTAATAGCTTAGACGAGTTCACTAGTACATCAAAATATTCGGGAGTACCCCTGTGACTCTCCGCGCCTATCATACAACTTAAAAACTTTAAATGCTTATAACTAGCTATAAAAACTAAATTTTTATATTTCACAATAATGCTCAAAAAATATTCTATTTTGAAATATGAAATTTAAAATATAAGTTGTCTTTCGAAGTATAAAACGATGATATAGATAAAAAAAAAAAAATACTTATATTATTGTTTAAAATGTAGTTTTGTAGTAAATTCAAATTATGTAAAAAAATATTTAAAAATTGTGTATGCTTTTGAAATAACGAGTGTCTATTGTTAAAATAATCTCTTTGAATATAGATTTACGTTTCATTATTTTGGTGTGATTATAAGCGGGTCTAAAAGCTTTGTGCATTTTTTTTTTTAGAAAATACGTGTTTTCTTGATCTTAAAAGTTTACATCTACGTTTTTACTTTATTCATGCAAATTGATTGTATTTTAATTACATATTTTATTTTACTCTACCGACTAATAATAACTTTCGAACATTTTTAAGGTTTGGTCATTATATTTATATTTTATTATCTATTTCAAAACGTTTATAAGAAAGTTTGTTTCTATACTTTCATTACTTTATGAGCTTTTATGATGAACACTGTTTGATATAGGAAAGGTAAAAAAATACAAATTTGAATTTATAGTTTGTACGATTTAAGTAGGTAGTTGAAAAGAGAATATTATATTTTAGTAAGATTTCTATAAATAAGAGGAATCAAAATGTTAACACTTTCCAGATATAGTTAGAACTTAGTATTAATTAATTTAAGACACTTATTAAAGGGGAACAATCAAACAAAGTAGAATATTTTTTACAACGATTTATCAAATTAATTTTTGTTGTGAATATTGTCAAGTATCAAAAGTCCTTATCGTGAGATAAATGTTTATTTGACGGTGGTGGGTATTTATTTAGATTATGTTTTTCAATTCTCATATTTATTTGTATCATTTTTAATTTTATACGATTAAATAATACATTGTTGCCGTATTTGATTGGGATATATATAATACACCATCGA